TTAAAAATATATAAACATTGTGTTAAAAATGAAAAGAAGTCTCAAACTGCTAGAATTATGTAGAAAAGTAACTGATACATATATCCTATAAATCAGCCTTCTGTAGGTAGAATCAGGAGAAATGTACAAAATCTTCATAGCAGCATTACTTATAGTAGCCCTAAACTGAAGATGACACAGATAACCATTAGCAGTATAAAAATAAGTCAATAGGAAATCACTCTAAGATGACCCAGATGATGGAATTAGCAGGTAAGATCATTTATGTAGCTATTTTAATTGTGTTCAAAGATGGAGAGTATGATTATTAATGAAATAACAAATGGGGAATCTCCATGAATAAATGGAAACTTTATTTTTTTAAATTTTTTTTTCAACGTTTATTTATTTTTGGGACAGAGAGAGACAGAGCATGAACGGGGGAGGGGCAGAGAGAGAGGGAGACACAGAATCGGAAACAGGCTCCAGGCTCTGAGCCATCAGCCCAGAGCCTGACGCGGGGCTCGAACTCACAGACCGCGAGATCGTGACCTGGCTGAAGTCGGACGCTTAACCGACTGCGCCACCCAGGCGCCCCAAAATGGAAACTTTAAAAAAGAATCACATGGAGATTCTAAAACTGAAAAGTAAAATATCTTAAACTTCAAGTGTCCTAGTAGTAGATTGAAAATGGATGAAGAGAGTGTCCGTGAACTTGAAGCTGGATCAATAGAAATGATCAGAGAAGCACAGAAGAAAGATGGAGAAGAAAATAAAAAAAGGAATGGTACTTTAGTGGCCTGCGGGACAATATCAAGTGGTTTTAAGTGTGTAGTTGGAGACCCTAAGAAGAGGGTAGAGAGAGAATAGGTCAAAAGAAGGTTATTTGAAGGATTTCTGAAAAATTTCCCACATTTAATAAAAAACAGAAACTTGTAGATCTGTGGCTTTTATCAAATCCAGAGGAAGATAAACAGAAAATGATACCTAGGCAGGTGTATCTTAGTCAAAGTGCTAAAACCCAAAATAGAAACTTAAAAGCAGCCAGAGAAGAACATCATATTGCATATGGGGAAACAATGACACAAATAAGGGCTGACCTTGCATTAGGACAGTGAAGGCTGGATGTCAAAGGAATGACATCTGTAAAGTGGTGCCAGAAATAAACCATCAAGCCAGAATTCTGTATGCAGCAAAAATAAGGACATTGAGAGTTGTACTAATCGTTAAAGATCTGCTGAAGGAATTTTTTTTCTGTCTGAAGGAAAATGACATCAGATGAAAACTTGAATCAATGGAAGGAATGAAAAGTACTAGAAACAGTAAATATGTAAATGAATACAAAAGGCTATGTATTTTTCTTTTTTTAAAATTTTTAAAATGTGTATTCGGCTTCTATAAAAAAATTCTATGTACAGTGCATAAGATATATGACAGCCATGGCTCAAAGGGCAGGAAGGTAAATACAACTATTTTGTTGTAGGATTTTTACATGATACATGAAGTAGTACACTATTAAGTCCTTGTGTAGACTATAAGTTAGTGATACATATTCTCTCTAGAGCAGTCACTATAAAATAATGGAAAGAAACAGTGAAAAGCCAATAGAAAAATGGAATGAAGAAAAAAATTTTTCCATTGGTTGTCAAATGATCCTTTATTGAAATATTTTTATTTACAGTTCTTCACCAGCTTAGCCCCACTGCTCACTATTGATGTCATGAGAGTGTCAGCCATCAACATTGCAGCCCGCAGATTGGGCAGTCAGTCCCCAAGATCTCTTTAATGGTTCCAGAGAGTTCTCTAGCAAAGATCGGTGCCACATCTGTCTGACTTTGTTGCCAATCTCATCAAAAGTGATATTTCCACTGTGCTTAGTATTTTTCTGCTGCTTTCTGTCTCTTGGCGGTTTCTTGATGGCTTTGATAATCAGGTCAGAGGCAGAAGGTACTACTTCAATCTAGGCCTGTCTGTTCTGAATGGCCAGTTTCACTGTAATCCTCAGACCCTTCCAATCACCAGTTGCCTTGGTGATATCATCACAAACCTTTTTTGGAGACAGACGTAGGGGGCTGATCTTCGGGGCCAGGACAGATGTGGCACCACCTTCTCTACCATTGCCCATCAGGTATACAACTTTCATCTCATTGGGATCAAACTTTATTGGCATGGTGACAGCAGTTGATGTTGGATGAATCTGGATTTGGGACCACCAAAGACAGTTGCACCTTCATCTCCTCCCAGCCAAAAGCCAAAAAAGTGGAATACTAAAAAATTTTGATAAATCCAAAAGAGGAGCAGAACAAAAAAAGAGATGACATGAAGGCAAAGAGCAAAATGATACATCTGAATCAAGCATATCAATAATTACCTTAAATATCAATGGACTAAATAATAAAAAGAAAGGCAGAGATTGTTAGTCTGGATAAAAAATTGAGACCAAACTATATGCTACCTATAAGAGACATACTTTATTTAATGTAAAGATACAAGGAGGTTGAAAATAAAGATGAAAAAGATACATTGTATACCATGCAAACAGTAAGAATAGGAAAACTGGAGTGATTGTTTTAATAACACACAAAATAGATTAAGATAAAAGTATTATCAGAGATCCAGAGGGGCATTTCACAGTGATAAAGGCATTAATGTATCAGGAAGATGTAACAATCATGAGTATGTTTGTATTTTATAACAGAGCTTCAAGATACATGAAGCAAAAACTTAAACTAAAATGAATTATAATACACCTCTTTTAGCAATTGATACAACTAGTAAAAAATTGGTAAGAATGTAGAAATTCTGAACAACACCATTTACTACCTTGACTTAATTTGCATTTATAGAACACTATAGTTAAGCTGTGAATTATTTTGTAGACACATAGAATGTTTACCAAGGAAGACCATATGCTGGGCTATAAAACAAGTCTCCATATGTTTAAAAAGATTGAAGTTTTACAAAGTATATTCTCTAACTACAATAGAATTAAGTTAGAAATAAGTAACCTTAAGATACCTAGAGAAGTCTGAATATTTAGAAATTAAATATCACACTAATAAGTCATAGGCCAAAGAAGAAATCACAAGAAAAGTTAGAAATGATTTTAAACTGAATAATGATAGAAATACAGCATGTCAAAATTTGTCGCATGCATTTGGCAGGTTTTGGAAGGAAATTTATAAACAATGTTCGTTTTAGAAAAGAAATGACTCACGTTTTTATTCAGAAACTGAGAAAAGGTGAGCAAATTAAACCAAAAGAAAGTAGACAAAAGGAAATAGTAAAGAAGAGAGATCAAAGAAACAGAAGAGAGACAAAGAGAAAAAAAAATGAAAAAAATCAATGAAGTCAAAAGTTGATTCTTTGAAAATATTACTAAAATTGATAATCCCTTAGCAGGATTGATCACAAAAATAATAAAACTCACTAAAGGTACGAATGAAATAGGACATTAATATAAATATTATAAATACTGGAAAGATAATAAGGGAATGTCATGGACAATTATATGCCAATAAATTTGAAACTTAGATGACATGGGAAAATTTGGAAAACCTAATTTACTAGAACGGACACAAAATGAAACAGAAAATCTAAAGAACCATATATCAGCGATACTGAATTCGTCATGAAAAATTTCCTAGAGAAATATCCAGATCTGGAAGATCTCACTGGTGAATTCTAACAAATGCTTCAGGAAGAAATAATACCCGTCTTGGGGGATGGGCAAAATGGGTGTTAGGGAGTAGGAGATACAGCTTCCTAGTTATGGACTGAGTAAGTCGTGGGAATTAAAGGTACAGCATAGGAACATAGTAATACTATTGTTAATAGTATTGTGTGATGACAAATGGTAGCTACAGTTGTGGTGAGTATGTAGCATAATGTATAGAGACGCTGAATGACTTTGTTGTACACCTGAAAGTAATGTAAAACTGTATATTCAAAAAATTTTTTTAAATAATATCAGCCTTCTATGAACTCTTCCTAAAAATAGAAGGGGAACAATTCCCAACTAGTTTTTTTGATACCAAATCCTGGCAAAGACATTACAAGAATATCTTTTATTTTTTCACTATCCCTTAGAAATATAGGTATAAGGGCGCCTGGGAGGCCCAGTTGGTTAAGCGTCTGACTTCGACTCAGGTCATGATCTCAGTGCTCATGAGTTTGAGCCCCGCGTCAGGCTCTGTGTTGACAGTTTGGATCGTGGAGCCTGCTTCGGATTCTGTGTCTCCCTCTCTCTCTCTCTGCCTTTCCCATTTGTTCTCTGTCTCTCTCCCTCAAAAATAACATTAAAAAATATATATGTATAAAATCCTTAATATAATAGTAAATTTAACCTTGTAATGAAAACTATCTTACATTGAACGAGTGAAGGTTTATCTTGAGAAGGTAGTTTAAAATTTGAAACTATCAGTGTAATTTCCTGTATCAAGTAATAAAAGAGAACAATATAATCATTTCAGTGATTGCAGAAAAAGCATCTGACAAAATTCTGCACTCATTTTTTTTATTAAAAAAAATTTTTTTTAAATGTTTATTTATGAGAGAGAGAGAGACAGAGTGTGAGCGGGGGAGGGGCAGAGAGAGAGGGAGACACAGAATCCGAAGCAGGCTCTAGGTTCCAAGCTGTCAGCACAGAGCCCGACGCGGGGCTCGAACTCATGGACCGTGAGATCATGACCTAAGCCAAAGTTGGACACTCAACCGACTGAGCCACCCAGGCGCCCCTGCACTCATTTTTTTAAAAATATAATTTATTGTCAAGTAGCTAACATACAACATATACAGTGTGTTCTTGGTTTTGGGGATAGATTCCTGTGATTTATCACTTACATACAACACCCAGTGCTCATCCAACAAGTGCCCTCCTCAATGCCCATCTCCCATTTTCCCCTCTCTCCCATCCCCCTTATCAATCTTTAGTTTGTTCTCTGTATTTAAGAGTCTCTTATGGGTTTGCCTCCCTCTCTGTTTGAAACTATTTTTCCCCTTCCCTTTCCCCATGGTCTTCTGTTAAGCTTCTCAAGTTCCACATATGAGTGAAAACATGGTATCTGTCTTTCTCTGACATATTTCTTAGCACAATGGCTTCCAGTTCCGTCCATGTTGTTGCAAATGACTGGATTTCATTCTTTCTCATCACCAAGCACTACAGTACACTCATACAATGGAACAGCGTTTAGCAGTGAAAATGAAGGAAGTGTATTTACACACATAAGTATCTGAAATATACTGATGAATAAAAAAATGCAAGAAAGAAAAATAAACATACATTTACATAAAGTTCAAAAACAACTCTGAAATATTGGTAGATAAATATACAGTAGAACTATAAAGAAGAGCAAGGAAAAATGAATATTAAGGATATTTGTTACATTTGAGGGGCAGAAGGGGCAAACCAATGAAGAGAGGCACTCAGAAGTATTTATGAATATTGATACTATTCCATCTTAAAGTTGGTTGATTCTTGAGTACAGTATACGGTCTGATTCATTGTTAAATTACTTATACCTCCCTTCCCCAATTCCTGTCCCTGCCATATACCTACTCTTCATTTCTAATTCAGCTCTAAAGTAATAAGTGACTCTGGAGGGTGGATATGCTAATTCAGGTTTCTCTTTCTTTTGATAATTTCTGTGTTTGAATCATGTCTACACAACTCAGTACATTTTTGTACAAAATGTATGAAAATAGTAGAAATCAAAGATATTAATTCTTTATAGAAAATCTCTTTAAGACTATGTCTTTCATGAAATCTATTTTTCTCATTTGCTTATGCTTTTAGTATCCTATCTAGGAATCCACTGCCAGATCCATGAATGTTAGCTCCTATTTTCTTCTAAGAGTTTTATAGTTTTAGCTATTACAGTTAAATCTTTAATCTGTTTTGAGTTTTTTTTTTTTTTATGATACGAGGTTAAGTGTCCAGATTTATTTCTTTCCATGTGAATAGCAGTTGTCTCAGCAACATTTGTTAGAGTATTCTTTCCCCATTGAATTGTCATGTTACTCTTGTTGAAAATAAATTACAAATTGACCATAGCTGTATGGCCTTGTTTCTGGACTCCCAATTCTATTGCCTTGATCTGTATGTTATCTTATGTCAGTATCACACTGTTTTAATTATTGTAGCTTTGTAATAAGTTTTATTATAAATTATTAATGAGTATGTGTCCTCCAACATCATTCTTTTTCAAGATTGTTTTGGCTATTCAGGGTTCCTAATAATTCCATATAAACTTTAGGATCAGCTTCTATATTTTCTGACAAAAAGATGGTTGGGATGTTGGTAGACATTTTATTGAATGTATCAAAGGGCAGTGTCAAAAGAGTGAAAGGCAACCCACAGGATAGAGAGAATATTAGCCAGTCATATACTTGGTAATGATCTAGTATTCAGAATATAAAGAACACTTCCAATTCAGCAACAAAAGCCAGTCACAAAAGGACAGATGCTGCATGATTCCACTTTTTTGAGGCATGAGTCAGATTCACAGAAGCAGAGATTAGAATGGGCAAGGGGTAGGGGGAAATGGAGAGTTCCTCAATTTGTATAAAGTTTCCATTAGGTAGGATAAGTTAGTTCTAAGATCAGCTGTACAGCAGCAGATGGTACAGCATGGTACCTACAGTCAACAATACTGTATTGTGAACTTATTCATTTAAGAGGATCTCATGTTAAAATGTTCTTAATGGCAAGAAACAAAGGGATAGCAGGAAACTTTTGGAGGTGATGCATTATGTCTATCATCTGAATCGTGGTGGTTTTACGGTATATGCATATGTCTAAATTTATCAAATTGTATACATTATGTATAGTTTTTTTTATGTGTATCAGTTGTACCTCAGTAAAGCTGTTTGTTTTGTTTTGGTAAAAGAGCAGACTTTTCTTTGAGTCACATGGATGTTCTATCCAAATGGAGTACTTACTATAATAAACCTAAACCTGAGACTAAATAAATATTGCTGAGGAATGGATTAAAAATATATATATGGTTGCTTTTAAAACATTACTTGCTAACACTACATACATACTTCGGGGGAGAAGATAGATTTTGTGAAAAATAAAGCACATCTCACCGTATAAAAAATGTAAGAAAATGATCTAACCACAATTGCAATGAATAAGTAATCTTTTAAGATTCACAAAACCCCAAAATGAATACAGAATATTTTTAAGTAATCCACAGCATTTACTAATGTTCATGTTATTTTCTTTGCTCAAAGGTCAATAAATTAGAGTTAGAACTAGAAGTTGCCAAACAAAAATTTAAAGAAATGACTGACATCTATCAAAAAGAAATTAAAGACAAAACGATATCAGAAGAAAATCTTTTGGAAGAGGTAGGAAAAACTATGTTTGAAAATTTGTTATCTTAAAACTATATTTTTATTAGCACTTTAAGAGAAAAGCAATTCTTATTTTTAAATTATGATTTTTAAAAGATTTAATAAATTTATATGAGACAGTTTCTATGAAGCTTAAAAATATCTTTGTTATTGTAAGTATTTGAGTACTGAGTAGTATATTTTGCCAAGACTAAGATTAATAACATTAAAAGATTATAACATTACAGTGTTATATGTTAATGCATTTTCTGCTTGGCTTTCCTAATATCCTCGTGTTTGATTTCTGCATTTTATGTAAGTAGTGTGTATGGTCTTTGGATTTAAGTTAAATTTGTTTTTTGTGCATTAATTTTAAGAATCACTTTATTTGATAGGTTGAGAAAGCAAAAGTAATAGCTGATGAAGCAGTAAAATTACAGAAAGAAATTGATAAGCGATGTCAACATAAAATAGCTGAAATGGTAGCACTTATGGAAAAACATAAGGTAACTCTTCCCTTTTTGTGTATTGAAAACTATTAATTGGAGCCATATTTATGAATAAAATGATGAAATCAAGATAACATTCTGATATGTCAGAAAACTATGCAAGAATGTCTTATTACAGCTAGAATATTCTTGATCTCTCATTTCTCACAGTTTGGGTCTTAACTACACAAAGCTGAGTTCGGGTGTCACTTCCTTGGTAGAATCTCTCTTTGTCATCTGTGATGTATGGAAGTAATCACTTTTCTTCTGAATTTTCCTAGTAGTCTCTTATAGCCACCTTCTATTTATTTAAGTACATCCCCAGGATATGTATCTGGTAAATATTTATATCATCTATATGGCTAACACATATTAGGATAAACAAATTTTTATCAGTGGTATAAATAGATGAAAGACTTCATGTTTGTTGTGTTTGTGAGTATGCTGTATTTTTTGTTCTAAAAGTAACGTTCTAAAAGTAGTCATTCTTTTAGGGGAATTTACCTTTATTCCCTTCAAGATTTGGAGAGGAGGTAGGCTATATCTATCTATCTATCCATGTTAAAAATTGTTGGTGAAATATAACATTGTTATGAGGTAACCAACAAGAATTAAACATATTTAAGTAATAAATATTAACAAAATTCATAAAAATATTGGGAACTCGGGGTGCCTGGGTGGTTCAGTCAGTTAAGCATCCTACTCACAATCTCAGCTTAGGTTCGTGAGTTCAGGTCTCATATTGGGTTCCACGCTGGGCATGGAGCTTAACTTTAAAATATTGTGAACTCATAGATTTAAGTATATTTTATATATCTCAATCCAGTATAATCCTTGATGCTCAAATTGTTTATCTTTTGGCCAGCGGGAGGCTCTTCAAACTCATTGGCCAGTCCTTTTGACCTTAATAATTTCTGACAGCTTTTTTGCTTTCTATTGTGACAAATGCTCAAGAGTCATCCTGTATTCCCAGATTTGGAATCAGTTACTTTTCTAAGAGGTCCTGGCATTCCTACCTTAGTTTTTAAATTATGACATTCAACATTTCTAATTAAAAAGAATTTTTTGCTGCTATTGTGTTAGATTATTTTCAAGACTGTTTTTTTATGTTTCATTGATTACATTATATGAATAAAAAAGACTTGAAAAGTTAGGAAAAAAACTCAGATATATATCACTGAATTCCTAGACATTGTCTAACAAATATTAAATGCTTAAGAATACCACCATTAATAAAACATGACCTATTTGTGTTCTGATACACCTAAAATATTTTCTCTGTTTAATATAGCACCAATATGATAAAATAGTTGAAGAAAGAGACGCAGAATTAGGACTTTATAAAAGCAAAGAACAAGAACAGTCATCAATGAAGGCATCTTTGGTGAGTTACAGAGCAAATAGTACTAATGCCAATTTTCGTATCAGCATGGCTGGTGGTAAAGAGTAATATATTAAATAAAGCCATAATTTTAGAGCTATGGAATCAAAGAATCTTACACTTTGAAAAAGATCTTATGGGTTTGATAGTTAAGTGGTTTTCCAATTTATATTCTGAAATGGTGGAGTGAACTATTTTTTCAAATGAATAAATATAAACTCCAGTTACAAATAAATTTGGAACTCTGATAGAGATGGGGAGAGGAGGAATGGGATATATTAGGAGATGCTGAGGAGGAGAATATACATGGTGTTAATATTTCTTCAGAGAAAACTGTAAGAAATTTGTCTAAATGAAATCTTTAGTCATGTTCAGCTAGCAGGCTGTCTATCAGTAGACTTTTAAAGTGTACAGGGGCGCCTGGGTGGCGCAGTCGGTTAAGCGTCCGACTTCAGCCAGGTCACGATCTCGC